CAGAAGTATCTTATGTTGACCGTCAGAACAGACTTTGTATTTATGGACAATTGAATGAAAACACTGAAGGTCCTAAAGTGCTCAATACTATTTTTAGAAAGATCTGAACCTCGTCGTAATCAAACTCCCGAAATAATTGCAAACGAATATGACGAAATTAAGCTTCTCTAAATATGCTCAAAATTGTACATTTACAATTAAATTTGAAATTTCCAATTAAATTTGTTCGTTTCTGATCAAAAAGTGCACATACTTAATTACAAAATATCTTATTCCTATGACTACCCAATCGGCATAATGAGCGAGAATCTAGTTACCTTAGTCCAATGTATCTTAAACGATGTATAAACGGAAGAAAAAACACGCAGTTCTCCTGAAACTGCGTTGGAATCCATGCTTTATCTTTGGGTTATTTGGTAAGGGTCACATATGACATAGTGTATAATATAAAGCACATTATCTTCCAAAGGCTTAAATAAGGGCCACTTTCAGAAGTTATTGTACTTGTGCTGCTTTATCCGCTTATGTTTTGGTGCATGAACAGAACTACTCTTAATAAGAACCAAATTTCACTTAGTCAAGCCGATGTTTCATATTTTCGGTATTTTTCGCTTTTCTAAAAAGTCGGTATTTCTAAACAACGTAGTATTATTTTTTAACGTTAGTGTGTCATCTTGTTAAAATAGTCGTTTTTTACTTTTGTAATCCTTTTTGGGACGCAGTATGGGTTGACTGTGCGCAGTTCATGAGATCTCATAAGGAAGGCCCTATTGACAGGCAAACGCGGTGACTTGTGCGTAGACTTGCGAAGTATCTGCCTCATTCTCTGCAAGCTCACCCCCGTACCCGGTGTTAAGACAGAAGTGGAGCGTACCGGAGATGAGGGGAGGGCGCAGGTGGCTGGCGCTGCCTCCCTCCAATGCGCGCCACACTAGCACCTGACCAGTCTCCCATAAAGGCCACATTAAAAAGTAGTCATTGCAGCCTGACTCTCAGTCCGCCAGCCAGTCACTCCACACAACAAAACATACACTGGACTGACTGCGCGGTCCGAGTTATCAGTTGACAAGCCTCCAAGCCACGGCTTTTAGCGCACAGCAATATCTTCAAGCGCGTTGGATTGTTTTAGTGAGGAAAGAAATGCGCCACCGCCTACCTGAGGGGTCGCCGGATGTGGGGGTTAGCTCCCATTAGTAACATAGTCAAACACAGGTTATCATCCCTTTTATCTCAACTTCATGAGGCCTTAAAGTGCAACAGAGGTAAATTTTGGTCCAGGTCAGTCTAATATATCTTGGTAGTCGGCATTCATCAAAAGATAACTGTTTTGTCCCATTCATCTCGCAGTCTTTTACGCATAACATTTGTGAACTTTTGGAAGTATCTTCCTCAAGCTGGCCAGACTCCCTTTGTCTAATGCAGAAAAGTGTGCGTTTTGGCCTTTTGCCTTAACGCTTCCTTCGTAAATAAAAGCTGCAGAAATATGAACTGGAAATGGCAAAACTAGGTGCTCATTAAAGCATTTTGAAATATACACGAAAACAGCATCTGCTCTGTGCTGAACTTACCGGCGACGGAGCTGGCGGTCCCGTGCCCTCAAGGCCGATATTACACGGTAGGAGGTGTGGCGGGAGGTAGGCATGCAGACTTTTGAGGGAATTTCCATGGAAGATAATCTGGAGGAAGAGAAAATATTTCCATGAATAACAAGCAGTTATGCCTCATAGATGCACATTTCACTGGCTTGCGCTCACACGCAACTGGGATTATGCACGCTACGACTGGTCCTTCTCCCAACGCGAGCCGGGCTGTTAACAATTGGACAGTGATAAGGACGTCCTTGAGAAAATAAATGGGACAAATGTATACTACATATGTAGACACGCTCTACAAAATGTGGATTTTTCAGGCGGCTGGAAAGAGGCCTGCTCGAAAACTAATACCCTGAACAGTAATTAATGTGACAATCCCAGTTAAGCAGTCTGTTCAAATTGAAAACATATTTAAGAATTTGATTTTATGTTTTGTGATAAAGTCTTTTACAGAGAGGTAGGCAGAATCGGTTTCGACTGAGCTGCCTACTTTAGGTATTGATAGTTTTACTGACAGGGGTTTCGCTATTGTACGCAAATCAAATAAACAAGTGACTGACAACATTTATTTTTTCAAAGATCAATCAATTAAAAGCTCAGAGAGTCTTAATGTACGATTTCCAACGCTTCAAAGTAATAGAGCGTTCGACAATAAACGAAGTAATTACTGTAGGGAACAGTGTCTGTTCAGCGACTGCCATGGTCTGTACCAAAGTAACTACGTGAAGATCTAATGAAATACTTATTCCACTTGAACAGAGTGAGGAAGGAATAATGTAGATATTTATTAAACAAAAGGTTAAAAGAAAAAGAAGGCTAAAGTAACAAAAGGCGAATCTCGGAGTGCCCCCAAAGTGCATGCAGACCTTGGAAAATTATGAAATTGAGACTTATAAAAATACATTACGCTTACAAAACGCAATATAATCTACAGGCATTATTTGCTTGGTATGTCGACGTCTTGTGCCCTTACGATAAAGCTTAGCGGAAAATACGCTAGATTAAAATGGGGCCCGATCAGGCCACGCTGGGGGTTGATGAGAATGCGTTCCCATAACCAATACCACACGAGGGGAATAAGGGTTGTGGTAGCAACACTAGGTGCAGGTTCACGCCGCATTAGCCGTCGGCGTCCTCGCCTACCTCTGGTCATAGTGACCCTCTCTCTTGACAGCAAGCACAGCTGTCCGAAGGAAGCGATAGTGCGGGAGATGCTGGGTAAGGCTACTGCCATGATAAACCAATGTACATGCTAGTCGCCGCTCCTACGCCGACCTTGCTGAAGGGCACACGGCAGACATAGACGAAACCGATGGTGGAACTGTCATGTCGGTAACTCTTTTCCAACCTTGTGTACTTATCAAAACCCCATCCTTTTAGCAACCGGTATCAGAGGGCCTCGTATGCGCGAAGGTTCAACCAGATTCAAAAGGCTAGACCCAGGGGTTGTAAATGACGGGCCGATGAAGCCTAAGAAGTCAGAAGTGCACATTCCAGTCTCCTTTGTTATTGCCGTAAATATATAGCAGCCATAACCGATCAGTGAGCTCATGTTTACCAAATCTAAGTGACACACATACCAACGACTTTACTGCGAAAGCAGCTTGTACATCCTAGGGATAGGGTTGGCTATTTGGACAGACGAGAAGTCGTTAACAAGATCCCTTGTGGCGATTGCAATGCAGATTATTGTGGACAGGCAAGATAAGCAGCCTCTACACGCTTACATGACATAAACAGGTGGTTAAGAGATGACATCACTCGTCGCAGGTCGGCATACGCACACTAGAAACTGGGCACAAATTCGCGTGGGACAAAACTCGCATTGTTGGCTCGTGCCCATCTAGGAAAGGCCGTGCGTTTTTAGAGGCCCTTAACCCCGATGACTGTTGCATTAAAAGACACGTCGAATTAGATGCTATGTACACCAATCTGTAAGAAGCATGGAAAAGGCTGTAACCAATCAGGACCAGAGATCAACCAACAGACACGCCTATTACCCGAACATGAGTATTCGTTATCGATTTTTGGGTTCTTTTGAAAATCTCACTATTCTTTACACTCTTTACGCATTTGACGACGACCAGGTGTGCCTGTGTCGAAAAGTCACAATACGGTTTTGTTTTTTTGTTTCCCAAAGGGTATCGTAGAAGGCACTGTGCACTTCTATTTTATGCTCGCTTTCTTTCGCATATCATTCGGTCAGACTTGAACCCACCGGTAGTTGATAGCTTTAACCTTGCATTTTTTTCCTAAAAACATAATTTCCTTGGCCGTTTGTCACCAATGTATGCGATTGCAACATTGCAATCTTGTCAACTGTGCGATAGTTACCTACCAGGAGTTAGAGAAGCTTTTATGATCGCTACTCTGTATCAAAATCTAAACTATTGATTGCAACTTCCTGGAAATAAGATCTATTTGCGACGAGCCTGTTACTAACGCAAACGCTAAAAGAAGCATTCGTGCAGAGCTAGGAAATTTTTATCCGGAATTCAGCATCAAAAGAGCTGAACTTAGCGGATGCGCTCCGCTTGCCTCAAAACATCGGGGCCTGTAGCGAGGTCAGGAAGGAGATATTACAAAGTCTCGGAGAAGCTCGCGTCGGAAGGTTTATCAAAAATAGATGTACTCACGGGGAGGTGTACGGTTGGACATCGAGGCATTAGCACGCGATGACAAATTGAGCAGGAAAAACAGCAATATTTGCTTCCACTAACTTCTAAAATGTGAACAAGGCTATTTTCCCGTGGAATTGCAAACTGTCGAACACTTTTTGGACGCCGATTACAAGCCAAGACAACCAGAATTGTGACACCTGATTTTAACATCTGTCACAGCCCAACAGAATACTGCTTCCTTATTTGACGGGGAACAGTTTGGCACCATAGGCATGATTTTTGTTAATTTAACTTTGTCATGTATTGAAAGTGTTTACTTCGAAACATGCTGACCTACATTAATATTTAATTTAGTGAATATAATCCCTCCTCTTAGCGTTCCATATGAAAGCATTACACTGTCAGTTACTGAACACGCGGAATTGAACGCATAGCTTCATTCCGTTCGTTATAAATCGCACAACGAAGTTTGTGACATCATGCATACCTGCAATACTTCCCTGCAAAATCGTCCGTCTTCAGTGGTAATAAAATGCGCCTAAGTGAAGCCTGAGAAACTCGCTGTGCTAGTAGACTTACCGATAAGTACGCTCCCCAGAAAGTCCTCTATCTTCCGCTTTTTATGAAGGTTAACTATCAGCTGGGTATAAATGTCGCTAGTATGGTGAAGGACCTTTATAAAAAAATATGCCCACTCAAGGCCAAGTGAGAAGTGAAACCGCTTTTTAACTTGCTGTTGGTTGGCATACTTGTTGCCGCCTAGAATAGTGCAAACAACTGTTCACGTATTGTTTATATATGCCCAGATGGCGTGACTGAAGCGGAATGCCAGATACCTTTCTCAAGGAGGCAAAAATGCCGGTAAAAGCAACAATTATTGACACTCGTTGATGAATGTTCACCAACCGCTAACGGAACTCACTCGTCTCCTGCTCTGCCTTGGATCTTATTCTTAAACCCCGCCAGCAGCCCTACAGCGGCTAACATTCTAGACAGATAGTTTTTCCGGCCCAAAGCAGTTCCTTTAATGAATGTCCATATCTCCCGACCTACACCGGCGAGAAAAGGACCTCGGGGCTCAATGGTTAGAGCATTAGACGCTGATCCAAAAGGTCGTGAGTTAGAGTCTCGGGCGATGCACCACTTGGGTCTGAGTAGGACTGGCTGATGACAGCTACGAAGCCAGACATGGCCATTCCAATCTTCCTTGTCATTTCTAGCGATACTATCTGCATATAGTATTGTAGGATACGTGAGAGCCTCCGTCAGAGCTTGCAGATTAGAGGAAAGGGATGCTACACAAAGCCGAAGGGTCCTCAGTCAAAAAAGGGCTGAAAGTGGTCAAAATTGGATGCGCTCATGTGAAGGTAAACAGTTTCTCTTTGAAGGGTTAAAACACAATGGAAAGTATAGATAATGACTCCTTTGATAAGGTCTGAGATATGATTTAACCTAGTTTATTGGTGATTTTTAGGAATTTATCAAAAGTATAGGGTCACTTTTGGGACACCCTGTGTTTTGGCAATTACAATTTGCAGCCACGACGAACAACCCTGTGATATCCGAATGCGTACTACAACCCAACGAAAGTTCAGGGTTTCAGTGCCTGGTCACATCGAGCAGAATACTGCTTCCATGTCTGAGGATATGACGATATACTACTCTACTCAATTCATGAGGCATTTCGTCCATAATACAGGGTAATCGTTAGCTCATTATGATTCAATATAATATACAGGTTGCCCAAAAATATATACACATTTTAAGTAATTGTAAACTTGGTGTTTATTATAATTTTGTTATTTAAGAAGCATAAAAATATTTAAAAGTATCATTTTATTGTTTTTCAGTGCATATTGACTATTGCAACAGTGGCTGAATTGAGAGAAGCTACCGAAAATGAATGAATTCGAATACTAAGGGAATTGTTTCGTGGTTGT